TATACTTGCGTATTTTTATATAGTTGTTAAAATATGGCAGTTCACTTCTTAATTGTTCTTGTCATAAATTCTATAAACAACTTTTTGGAAATTCAGTCTTCTTGCAACAATAAAATATACAGGTCTTTTGTACACAAAAAATCAGAGGTGTTATAAAGGTATTTGTACTCAAGATATGTCTCTGAATACAATGGTTTTCAAATGAGACCCAAAACTCGAGCTCTTTTGAATAGTTCACTGTTTTTTCCTCTTTATTCTCCTGAAGAAGAATAGTGAACTATTCGAAGTGCTCGAGTTTTGGGTCTCATTTGAAAACCATTACAATTTTTGTATTTGATCCTGTGTGCTAACTTCTTAATCAGAATCTGAATTGACAATGTCAGTCTGACTCAGACTCTGACAAGTTAAAGTGCATGATAACATTCATGTGAAGAATAAATATACTTCTGTCCATCATACAGATAGCATATTTCATTTGCATAACCTCTAGAACAGCTGAAATACATACCTAAAGTCTTTTCAGTATTCCTATATGTTGTATTTGGTATTTACTCTTTTCTACCAAGAACTGTCACTAAATTAGCAGTGTATTGTAAAATGAATAGTTGTTAAATGATAAGTCAAATACATAATACTATGTTGAATGGTACTTTATAAAAGTTAAAGAATGCACACTTTGATCCCCATTTGTAGATATAGGGTTAAAACTAACAATAGATACACAAAAAATATTGATTGTATGACAAGAACAAATCAGTTATAATTCATAGTAATTTAAAATACTTGCTAGTATTTTACATTTCAATAAATCATTATTAGTTAATGAAAGTTTCAAATATTTATTTACCACCACAAGGTATTGTATAGTATATTTATACATAGTTATAACTGTTGGCAATTTTAGGCTTCTTTAATGAACATTCTTTTTAAATTTATATTTGAATACGATAGCCTCAGTACACTGCTAACATGACCCTTAATGGTCCTATTTCTGACTTCATTTAGAATTATGTTTTATTGTATATTTATACAGGAAGAGGTGGAAGAAACCTCGTCAACCTTCAGCCTAAATGAACAAAAGAGTATATTTGGTCAAAAACACACTGTATTTTAGAGATGGAAAGCGTAGGATTGATTTTGTTTTAGTTTATAAGGACTTGTCAGATCCCCAAAAAGAAGAGAAAAGAAAAATCTTTGAAGCAAACCTTAAAGAAGAAGGACTGGAACTTGAACTAGAGGACAAATCTGTATGTGTTTACAATTACATGTTCATTTAAGTGTAAAATTGAGATTATAGAAAAGAAGAGAATTGCCATTTTTGAAATTTGAGGAAAAAAGGTATAACTTGATGTAAATGAGGTAATTTTCTTTCTTTCTTTTTTTGCTTCATGAAAAGTATTATTTTTTCAGTTTCTCTAAACATATTTTATCATCAACACTTTTAATGTCTTGTATTAAATCTAGTGATGGAAAATGCTACATTACTTAAAATAGGATATATAATAGCTTTTATGATTAGATTTTAAGTATAGCTATAGAAAATTTACTCTTTGCTTGATTTTTATACAAAAATGTATATTGTAAGATACTTATTTCCTTAATAAGTTTGTTAATGCATGATGCCAGCTTACAGCCAATTAAAAGTAATTGTAGTATTATTCTCATAGAGGGACAAAATGATTGACACTAGATGGTGCTTAGGTCTTTCTCATGGTAACTATGGTCATGTGTAAATCAGTGTGTGCTTTAATTATGTAAGTTAATCAGATGTTTTGTCAATAGCCAATAATTGTTCCACTGTGAACTATAATCTAGTCATTTGGTAGCAAATAAAAAGAGACCTGAAAAATGATAAGCCAGATGCTTGAGAATGTGGAATTTAACTTAGACTGGATATTTCTTGAAACTTGGCTTGGAGATTATTAATGTTGTGAATTATAATTAGTCAGCGAGTTTGCAAATTTTGTATTATTAAGTAGATTTTGTAATAATTTACAAAGTAAGTTTTTTTTTCTTTCTGGAACTATTTTGTAACTAATTGTATCAAGATTCTATAGTTGATTGAGAAGGTTGAAATTCAGTTGTGTTCACTTGTAAAAGTTTGTAAGTAAATTGTGTTCATCTATGTTAAAGTTGTAATAATACTTTTCTTTTAAGAATCATGGTACTTACCTTTCAATTACACAGGCCTGTGAATTTAAACTTCATACAAGTTGTTTTGTTTTTAATAATGGATTTTCCATAATTCATCTATGCAGATTTCGAAAATAATATTCATTTCTTTCTATCATGTAAAGATTTTTTACAAATCAGGAAGAAAAAAATACTCTCTCTTAGATCATATTATTATTATTATTTCGTTTACCACAATGAACATTTTTTATTATGTTTGTTAA